AACACGGAGGGCTCCTACCGCTGCCACTGCTTGCCAGGCTACGTGGCCCTGGCCCAGCCCCACCACTGCGTGCCCCAGACAGCCCAGAGCCCAGCAGCAGCGTAGCTCTAGGGGAGCAGGGGTGAGGGTGCTCCCCTCTGGCATGCGACTCTGGCACCCGGGACCTGGGAGCACGGAGAAAGGCCCCCCGGGGCTGCGGGTGCTGTGAGGCTCTTTGCTCCTTCCCCTCTGAAGCGCACAACTTCCCCGCCACCTCGCTCTACAGGCCAGGGCTGAGCTCCCAGCCTCCGCGCCCCCCTCCGCCCTGTCAGCCCCTGCTCCTGCCGCAGCAGAGCCCACCCTGGCCCCCAGCACCCGTCGCATCGCCCTGTGCCGTGGAGGCTCACGGGATGCCTTCCCCTGCCACACAGCCCCAGACTCCCCTCCTCGCCCTGCCAGGGGGCGCATCTCCCTGCCACTGCTGCACTGACCTAGCAGCAAGCCTCACCCATGCCGCAGGTGCTGGCCCCACTCCTCGTGAAGCATCTAGCTCCCAGGCCAGAGCTTTGAGGGGGGGAATCAACCCCAGCTTTCTAAAGCTGCTGCCTAATCTTGGGGCATGGTGGAGATGCTGGAGCAGCCCCAGGGCCAGCTCTCCCTGTAGCCAGCCCAGGCGCATCCCTTAGCCTCGCACTTTGCCTTTGCGCCCTGTGCTGGCTGGGCAGGGTGACAGGCAGGTCCAGCTTCCTTTTTTTAAAGTTGTTAAAAAAAAGTTTAACGAAGTCTGCTGGAAACTCCTCTCATGTTGTTAAATAAAACATTTATTTTGGGCCCCTGTGGCTCGAGACACTGGGGCTGGTCAGAACTGTGCTTGTCTTGCCTCTGCCAAGGGGTTCCAGTGCCATGTCCTCCCTGTGGGTCCAGCCTGGCAAGGCCACCCCACTCTCGTAAGCCAATTCTTACCTCTTTCACACTGGCACCCAGCCTCCCCCTGCTCCTGAGCCAGAGCAGAGACCGTTGCCAGGCCAAATACTTGCTTATCTCCCCAGCCCAGTGCCAGCCACACAAGCCAACTCCAGCCCCCGCAGACAGCAGAGCGGTTTGTGGCCACTCACATCCTGCCTTGTTCACACATGAGGGGGCTGCAGCCTAAGCATCAGAGCATGGAGCTTTCTGCAGTTGGCAAGAGTCCTCGGGCAGGCCTGGGAGCTGCTCTGCCAGCCCCAGAGCCCTCAGCAGAAAGGCCTTTACCTATGCTGGGGCAAACAAGGCTGCGTTCTACACCACCTCCTCAGGGAGCCTTTGCACAATTCCAGGCCAGGATAGAACCTAGCAGGAGCACCGCCAGATGCTGCCAGCAAGACACTCTGGCAGCCAGCGGCAGAGATGCCCAATTGCTCACAGGTCATCCACGCTCAGGCCAACACACCACCTCCATCCATGCCTTCAGCTGAGAAATAAGACCAGCCCAACCCTACCTAGAAGATGCCCAGCCACTCTTGCTTTTCCTCCTGCTCCTCTTTGCTCACAGAGGACCACAGAAGCAGATTTTGTCTAGCCTTTATTAAAAGGAAAGTTATAAAAAGAGGTTTAGGAGCTCCCAGCAGCTCTGAGTTAGTAGTAGTGCAAACTGTTGGTTAGAGAAAGAATCATCCCTGCAGAGACATTGAATGCTATTTAGCTTTGCATCCACAAAAAAAGTTTTCACAGACACAGTCCTGCTGGGTGGAACGGGGGCCCAGGACACAGCAGGCTGCCAGCTCGGGGAAAGCCTCCTCTCCTTCCCACTCCTTCAGCTGCATGGATGGCAAATGCTGGTCCCGGGGCATCCCAGTTGCGATGGAGCAGGAAGAGCACAGGAGGGTGAATGCAGCCGGCGGTCTAGAAGAGGCACTGAAGGGTTACCAGGTAGCAGCTCAGAAACCAGCCAGGTTCATCAGAGAAATTCCTTTGTGAGGACAGACAGCTCCATTTCAAACAACTAAAGTGCCTCTGCAGAGTGGCTGGAGGACGATGCTCAGTCACTCCTGCAGCAGACTCTGTTGCCCATCGAGCTGCTGCAAGAACGCCCCAGGGGGCTCTAAATGGAGTAAAAGCCCTCTGCCCACAGCTGACCTTGCAGGAACACAGTACTGGCTGCAGAGCTCTGAAGGAAACAGTAAGAAATGCTTATTATATAAAAGAATTTGGCCTGTGTTGTCTTCTGTTTTTCCCTTCCCCAAGCCCTACTACTAGCAGGGCTCCTCAGCTGGTGATCTGAACTGGTATCTTCCAGCAGAACAACATCTGGTCTTGGTCATCCACCAGCTCCCACTTCACAATCAGTTTAATCTGAAAGAAAGAAAAGAGCAGAGGGAAATGAGAGTGTTCAGGAGAACACAAGACAAAGACGTGGGGGGGAGTTGTTACTTGTGTGGAGCAAGGAGGTCCCGAGAGCTCTGTGGAAAGAGGACCGAGCTGGGGCATCGATCCCACTGAAGTAGGTGGGCCACGCTCATGTGGTGGCTCCTGGAGCATATTACATGGATAGGGGGTTCTGCTGCACGACACAAGAGACCTCCACACACTGTACTTAGATCTCCACTCTCTGAGTAAGCAGGGAGTAGAAACACCCTGCAGCCTCCCAGCTGAACTTGCACCCTGGAACTCAGCACCCCCAGTTTGAGAGCATGTGGCTGAACACAGCAGGCTCTGCAGGGAGGCTATGTACAAGCACAGTACAGAACAGGCAGGCACTCGGGCAGCTGAAGACAATTCCGAGGAGCTGGAGCTGCTTCCTCTGCTGGGTCTGTCCCAAAGCGGGAACTTGAGACAGAGTCATAACTCGCAGCAGAAGTGCCACTAGATTGTCTGAGGAGTCTACTAACCTCTTCCCCACCGCCACAGGACAAGGTGTCCTTCCTTAAAGGCAGGCGGTGGGACTGTCCCAGGAAGGGCAGTAGCTCTGAGAAGCAGACCAGCCCCCTGCTTACTTACACTGGGGTACTCGCTCTTCACAGGGAGTTTATTCAGGTAGCTGTAGGAATGGCCCTTCTGAATGGGGCACTGGATCCCAGACTTGCATCCATCAGGCTCAGGAATGGGAAAGGGTATGTCCACGTGCAGCATCTCGCCGTACACCCTCGCTTTGCTGCCCTGACTCTCAATCTCTGCAGAAGACAGAGAAGCGTGAGCACGGCAGCGGGGCAGGGAACGCGTTTCTACCTTACAACCCCCCCCCCACACACACACACCTCGAGATACGCTAGAGGCTGCGAGAACAGAGCTAAGCGACGCTCTCCCTCCCCGGCCCCCTCTGCCCACCCAGGCAGACGCCCCCCCA